TGCAAATAGGGAAGGGTGGAGGGGGTGAAGGGAGGGCAGGGGAAGGGGAAAAATAAAAGAACCAAGATACTCATGTAATGGTACAAGATCCCAGTAATGTTTGTAACTGTATTTTATACCTAAAATGTACCAATAAACTTAATGGGAAAAAAATGTTTTTTGTTGCTGCAATGATACTATTTATGTAAAGAACAAAAAAATCCAATTTATCAAAAGTTTCTCTATTATTACCTGTTTAAAGTAAATTTTTCATACTTAAAATCATAATCATATGTAGATGTGTTAAACAATATTCAGTTGTGAGTAGGAAAAAATAAATCATTCCTGTAAGTTAATAAGTTTAGATGGCAGGAACATGTAGCATATATGTAGTGACTAAATTTACATTTTTATGCACATATATAATTACTTTCTAGTATTCCAAATGCTATAGGAATATGTTGAGACATACTAGCAATTTTCAGAAACCCAACACAGAGATTATCTGCTCTGTATTACTTTTTCCATAGGTGTAATATTCAAGTTCATAGTGACTCTGCTTATAAGCCAAGAGTCTCAAATTAGTTCACATATGAATCAAACTTTTGCTACTGTTATAACTTTAAATGAGCTAGACCTTGGGTCTACACATAGCAAGATGTGCAATAAAAAAGACACCACTTCAAGGCCATTTTAAGAGTTCAGATTACTAAAGAGGATATTGTTTTCTAAGCTGACAATTTAATGAAATGGTTAACAAATACCAGAGTTCAGATAACTCCTTTCTCTTAGTGTGTTATACATTATACAGTACATAGTAAATGCCTCCAAATATTAGCTGACTAGAATGACAATGTCATTTTTTCCTTTTGCTATTCAAAGTCCAGTTTGTTTATTTTTGAAGATAATATTTCAATACTTCAATTGAAGAAGAAAATTACAGAATTTTCTCTATACAGAGAATAACACCTAAATTTACCAATTAAGAAACTGTTTCAGGAGTTGTTGGAAGGTGAGTTATTTTGTAGTAACTATGTTTTAGTTGCTGTGCAGTACACGCAGAAGTAATCTACTTCAACTTCTGAACAGTTGGTTTGGACACAAGTTTAATGAATATTCAGTGAAACACTTGGATACAAGCTCTTGCTATGTTATCTTGGCGTGTTTCTGAAGACATTCTACTCCTTCTGTTAGCTCACACACTGTGCTTGGCTCTCCAGCGCAGTGACAGGCAAGGCCAACGCAAAGCTTTCCTGAAACAATAGTATCCTGAGTGACGGGGCCGGGCCGGGAGCTGAGTCTCTATTCTTTTCCCTTCAAATGGCAAGTTCTCTTAAATGAGTCAACAACAGAGTTTTGAAATGAAAAGGCAGTAGTGGCTTTGACTTTCCAACACACTTTTTCCAACATGATCTTTCCTATTCTCGTTGATTCCAAAACCGTGAACTGATACTGACTTACCAGATCAAGTCAGTTGCCAATGGGACACTTCTTTCCTCTTCTATTGATTTTACAGTACAATAAAAACAGTTCGGTGCAACACACCCAAGGTGCTTGAGCTGTTCCTTCATTTTAGACAGGAATCTGTGCAGTAAACTCATAGCTAGAGAAAATGTCTCCATCTCAAAGACAAAGAACTCATTTACTAAGAAGATCTTTCACTTCAAAGTCCCTTTGGCTCTCAGTCATTCTGAGGCTGTTATCATGTGCAGATTCAATTGTCTCAAGCAGCAGACCTTGGGCTGACATTAGCCTCCTGTTCCAAGGGGTATTCAGCTGGTCTCACCCTTGCAGAGTCAGTTGTCAGTATTTCTGTCATCCTGGTAAAGACCATGACTCCTTGGTGTACCCTGCTCCTCTGGCCTGCTCTCAGCTCACCCCACCACATCAGATGCAAAAGGCCTAGGTTAGAGGAGACTCGGGGGCTGGAGGAAAGAGACCTGGGGAGGGGAAACTATTGTGGGTGGAGGTCTCTGAAGCGCCTCCGAGACTGCATCACCCTCCTTCTGGTCAGACCTAAGTGCTGCACTGTTTTATTAACAAAAATTTGACCTAAATGTCCATAGAGTAGGTTGGATCCACACAGCAGTGTACTCTGAGCAGCATCTATAATATACTAATATGAAAATATGTCCACTGTATCTGAGTGAAACCCATACACTGCTTAATTCAATACATTCTGAAGCCACTTTTGTAAGAATAAAATCTTTAAGTCATTATATAATCAACAATTTTACCTCATTCCTCCTTTTGTGTGTGTGTGTGTTTTTGGTACTGGGGTTTGAACCCAGGGTCTGCCACAACCTAGGCAAGTAACAACCTCCTTTCTCCTTTTAAATTGGTTTTTGATTAAAATAAAACATACATACAAAAAAATTATGAAGGAAACATGTCTCTGTTGCCATCACCTAGGAAAAGAAACTGAACACTATCCAGGAATCTGAAGCTTAGGAGAAAGACCTGGGCTACAGATGAAGAGCTGGGAGTTAACCACATACAACAGGAAATCAATAATCGTTGAATCTGGGTAAGAACACCCAAGGAAGAGGGACAAAGTGAAAAACTGCAAAGGCTGCCGGACAGGCGGACGTGAAGATTTAAGGGATAGACAGTGAATTGGTCTGCAAAGGAGACAAAAGGATGCAGCCTGGAGAGGGGGTGCGGGCCATCACCGGAGATGATGCGAACCGGCCAGGACAGGCTGGCGCCTACAAGGGCCACGCAGGCCCGCGGGTGGGTTTCCTCGCCCGGTGCTCTGTGCCCGATGGACCTGCCACTCTGGCCACACCTGTCTGAGACCCCTGCCCCAGGAATCCCGCATCGGCCACGCCCAGCGTCCGCCCCGGGTCACAAACCCCGCCACAGGGCGCCCGAAACAGATCCAGTCCCGGGCAGGGTGTGAGTCACACTTCTGGTCCCACCCCTTCCCCTCACAGCCTTCCTGATTGGCTGCCTCGGCGGGGCCACGCCTCAGAGGGCGACCCTCCGGGTCATAAGTAGTGGGCTGCTGACCCGGCCAGCCCAGAGGAGGACGTGCGGTACCGTCCGCAGCGCCGGCCACCGGCTGGCGTGGGTGCCGGTCCCGCTCCCTCACGCGTCCCGCCCGCGCCCCTCCGAGACCCCGAGCCGCCTCTGTGTCATGCACCACCTCGTTGGCCCCGGTCCGTCCCCGCGCTCCTGCCTCCTGCGCCCTCCGGGACCGGGACCGCAGAGTTCCAAGAAGCGAGTGGTGTTCGCGGACTCCAGGGGACTCTCGCTGACGTCCGTGCACAAGTTCGAGGACCCCGCGGCGCCCCGGGGACGCGCGCCGGGTCGCGGCTGGGGCGCCTCGTCCGCCTGCCTGCGGCTCCTGCCCAGGGCCGCCCTGTGCGTGCGCGCCCGCTCCTCGTCGCCCTCAGGGTGACCGCGTGGCCCCGGATCTGCTGCTCTACTGGGTGCTCAGCCGCTTTCCCGTGACAGTCACTAAGGTCGAAACCACCGCTGGACGTCGGGCTCTCAGCGCTGCTCATCAAGGCGCTCATCAACTCTCCGAAGCCTGAGGTTGTTGCCCGGGACGCGCGTGTTCCCCCTCCCAGCACCGTCCGAACCGCCTGCCCCTGCACTGCGTGTGGGACACAGGATGGACCCGAGACCCCGCCTGCGGGAGAACCGCACTGCCCTTCACTCTGCGGGGCAAGACACGCTGGAGCAGATCAGGGAAACAGAAACCATGTAAATAACACTTTTATGTGTCATTATTTAAAAAACTTAACAAAGCTAAGAGGGTCTGAAAGGACCAAGCAGGTCCGGGTGTGTGTGTGTGTGTGTGTGTGTGTGTGTGTGTGTGTGTGTGTGTGTGTGTGTGTGCGCGCGCTCGCCCGCACCAGTGAGGCTGGGGAGGGAATGTCTATACTGAAGACAGACAGGAGAATGCCACACAGAACTGGGCCCAAACCTCACTCTTCACCCGGGAAGGGCTAGTTTCCTGGTAACTTGACTTGGTCTTGCTTCAACTTTTGCCAAAAGAAGTGTTAACTAAAGCAATTGCCACAGTTCATGATGTAAACACCTTTCCCATCTTCCCGCTTCTCTCTCTCTCTCTCTCTCTCTCTCTCTCTCTCTCTCTCTCTCTCACACACACACACACACACACACACACACACTGTATTTTCATCGTTTCCTTGAGCTTGCTTTGTGGTGCCCACACTTTGAGGGTTGTGTATTTGCGGGCCTGCATTGGAAGCGCACTAAATGTGTGGCTCCCCAGGGTCTGGGACCCTCTGGCTGGCTGCCCCCTGGAGCCCAGGACATAAGTTAGATAACTCATAAGTATCTCTGCTAAGTATGCTTCTAGCTGCTGGGAGGTTTCGACCTTGGAAGATTTTAACCTCTTTGCAGCAATTGTTCATTCTGATTATTCTTAGTGACACTAAAAACAAATATTTTAAAAAAATCTTTATCCCTTCTAATCCTTAACTTCTTGGGCTGCGTTTGTTTGTGTCAACAGCAAACTGTAGAAATGCAGTCAGAGGGGTTAAGCAAACAACATTTGCTTTATCTGCCGTTTCCCCTACAGACTTTCTTCAGCTGTCTCGCTGTGATCAACCACTGTGCCCTGCCATCAGGTTAAGTGTGAAGCCAACCCTGAGCTTCCAGGGACAGAGGGCACACAACTGTGCCTTCCTTGTTTGATAAGGATGTCCTCGTCACCCGTCCTTTTCTCCACTTCTGCATGCTTCTGGTCATCCTGACTTCATTAAGGGATGGTCATAACTAGGACAGGAGAACCCCCTGATGCTCTGTCACTCTCAGATGAAAGCTAGTGAGGTGCTGGGATATAGCTCCATGGTAGAGTGTGTGCTCACCACTGGCCCTGGGTTCCATCCAGGACACACACACACACACACACACACACACACACACACACAGTACTAATAAGAATCTGCACAAAACATGAAAAGTCAGCTGTAAAGGTGACTGCTAGGGTTTGGATCAAAAACATCCCCAAAAAGGTTCTTGTGTTCAGAGGTGGGGTTTTGGGTAGGTGATTAAATAATGGGGCTCTAACCCAATAGATTAACCCACTGATGAGTTCACACCGTGGCCCTATCCTAACAGATAAGTCCATGGATGAGTTCACAGTGGAGTGAGAGGCCAGGAGGTTGGAAGCACTACTTGGGGTGTGGCCTGGAAGAACAGGTTCTGACCCTCAAACCCCTCTCTCCAGTTCCTCCCTGCTCTCTGCTGTGCCTGCATCTTTCCTTTGACCACCCCTCCTCCATTATGCATCTGCTTTGATGCCACCAACCCAATTGAACCTCATATATTTGGTCACAGGAACCGAAAGCTGATGAGTACAGTGACCTATTCTAGAATGTGTGGTGATATATGAACCCAGGGTTCCTGAGTATGTCTCCTTCATGAGCATCGGTCATGACCTCACAGTGTGACTAGGACATCTTCTAAGTCTGAGTGGAGCAGTCATGGCATTAGAGGGGGACAGGGATCTAGACTTGTGATATTATCTCCAAATAAAGTTACAGAGACAATCACAGAGAAAACTAATTGGGCTGAAAAATGATGCTGGCCACTGTCCAGCTCTAAATTTTACATTGCTAACTGTCACACCATGTTGCCTGGAGTGCACTTTGAAATGATATTTGACAGTTTGGTTTTTGTTTTTTTGTTTATTTTATATAGCCTTATCTTTTAAACACCACAATTTTGTTTATTGCCCCATTTCTGTTAATATTTCTTTTCTTTGTGTGTGTTAAGTTTTTCGCATTTGGAAATATATATGTGTATCATATGCAATAGTAATGATCCTGTCATTCTCTTTGTTAAAAATGTAGTAATTTCAGCCAGGCAGGGTGGCACAGCCTGTAATCCCAGCACTGGGGAGGCTGAGGCAGGAGGAAGGCCAAGAGTTTGAGGCCAGCCTGGGCTACATGGTGAGTTCAAGACCAGCCTCAACAACAGAACAAGATCCTGTCTCAAAAAAAACCCAATAAATGGGGCCGGGGATTTAGCTCAGTAGTTCCGCCACCTGCCTCGAAATTGGAAGGACCGGAGTTCAATCCCCGGTACCAAAAACAACAACAACAACAACAAAATAATAAATAGGCCCAAGGATTTAGCTCAGTGGCATCATGCCTGCCTTGCAAGCGCAAGGTCCTGAGTTTGATCCCTGTTACTACACACACACACACACACACACACACACACACAAACCCAATAAATAAGTTAATTAATTTTATAAAAGGTAGTAATCTCAAGAAGCAAAAGTACCGTATGTCTCTCAAGCTCTGAAAGGTCCAAAGATAAACTGGCCTAACTTATTTACAAACTTTCCCATTTAGGTGATGTCATGATTCAGTGAGCACTGACATTTTTACTATTATTATTCCCAGTACTTGGGAAGCTGAGGTAGGAGGATCATCATGAGTTCAAGGCCAGCCTGAGCTACATAGTTGAGACCCTGTCTCGAAATAAAAATCATTTCAAAGCCCCTCTTTTCTTGCCTTGAGAACGCAGGAAGGTAGTCACTGTTTTATTGGAGAAAATAATAGAGGTGGGAGGGAATTTAGAAAACAGCAAGTTAGGCAGAAAGGAGTAGTTTACCATGTTCAACCAAAAGGATGCTCCACTCAGGCGGCGTTACCACTGCTTGGCTGGAGGAGTCTTTCACAAGCAGAATTTTAAGAGTGTAGGGCTGGGGATTTAGCTCAGTGGTTCAGCTGCCTGTCTTGAAAGCTCAAGGTCCCGAGTTTGATCCCCACTACCAAAAAAAAAAAAAAAGAAAGAAAAGTGTATCAGGGTTGGGACTGAGCTCAGTGCCATAGCATTTTTTTTTTTTGGTACCAGGGATCGAACTTGGGACCTTTCACTTACAAAGCAGGCGCTAGAACAATTGAGCTAAATCCCCGGCCCAAAGAGCCATAGCATTTTATAGCATGTATGAAAAAGAAAAAAAAGGTGAATCACATTATGAGCCTTGGGGCCATACAGGCCCTTTTGCTTGTTTTGTTTTGAGACAGAGTCTCACTATGTAGTCCAGGCTGGCCCTGAACTCATTTATTTTCAATTGAGAGCCAGTGTGGATGCAGACTAAACAACCTGTCTTCTTCACTCTGCTCTAACCTGCAATGTCTCTATGCAAGCCCAAGCTTTCTTGTATGAATCAGATCCAACCTGCATACCCTCCACATTATGATGACTCTCAAGTTTCTCTCACGGTCCAGACCTGTGCTCCCAACTCCTCACAGGTCAAAGAACAGCACCTAAAATAGCAGTGTCTCAAAAAAGTGGAAAATAGGGGTGGAGGTATACCTCAGGGCTATGGCATTGGCTTGGCATGCAGGAGGTCCTGTGTTCAATTCCCAACACCACAAAACAAACAAAATACCATATAGCCTGACAATTCCACCTCAGGATATATATATCTGAAAGAATTGAAAATAGGATCTCAAATGTCCAGTGATAGGTAAAAAGGAAAATGTGGTATACATATGCAATGGAACATTACTCAGGCTTAATAAAAAGAAATCCTGAACCATGCTACAACATGGATGAACCTAAAGGATATTATTCTAAGAAAAACAGAATTGTAGCTACTGGGGGCTGAGGGAAGGGGGGAATGGAGAGTTTTTTGTTTAATGGAAACAGAGGTGTTTGTCTAGGGGTACTGGAGGTTGAACCCAGGGCCTTCACACTGAGCTACTTCCCAAGCCCTTTTTATTTTTTTATTTTGAGACAGGGTCTAAGTCTAAGTTGCCTGAACTGTCCTCAACCACTGTGATGCTCCTGCCTCAGCCTCCCTAAGTGCTAGGATTATGCCCCCACGCCTAGCTCAGTTTCAATTTTTTGAGATGAATAGATTCTGAAGATTTACAACACCCTGAATATATTTAACACTACCCAACTGCACACTTGGAAATGGTTACAATGGCACCTTGGGATGTCGTTCAGTGACAGAGGACATCTAGCAGATCCCCAGCACAGAAACAAAAACAAAAAACAAAAACCAAAACAAAATAAAACAACTCAAAGAAAATGGAAAGGAAAGACATGGTTAAGATGGTAAGTCTTTTATATGTATTTTATGATTAAATCTGTTTGTGTATGTTTTTGTGGTCCTGAGGATTGAGCCCAGAGGTGCTCTATCACTGAGCTACATTCCTAGCCCTTTAAAAAACTTTTCTTTTGAGACAGGATCGTACTAAGTTGCCCAGGCTGGCCTCCCAGTTGCAATCCTCCTGCCTAGCCGCCTAGGGAACTGAGATTACAGATGTGGTACCATGTAGTGGGGATAAAATAAAGCCAGCATTCTTTATACAAATTTTGAAGTTTATGAGTGTGGACTTTACCCTAAAGATTTTATCAGATTATTTAGCATGAAATGATAATCAGACAACAGTATGAAGAATAAACAAGGGCGAAATGCTTGGTACTGGAAGGGGAAAAAAAAAGTCCTTTCAGGGGAAGGCTTCTTTTAAGGGGGTCCAGTTTTAGGGGAGATAAGCTTAGGTGTTTGAAGTCTGAAGAGGCTATGAGAAATACATGCACTGGCAGCTGCAGGATCAGCTGACCTGAAGTGACATCAGGCCCAAGGTCAGGTAGACCCTGGAAAGCAGCAGCTCTGAGGAAATGCAAAGGTCTCCACACACTGACTCCTTTGTTCCTTTGAACCTTCTCTCTCTGTCCTCTCTCCCTCCTTCCATCTGTCTGTCTCT